CTTCCTGCATGCCCAGCAGGTGTCACCTCTCCAGTGTTAAGCCCTCCTCCTTTAATTTGGTGAACTCTCCTAGCTCCATACACCCTGATGACTCCCTGAGACCAGCCCCCGCCCCACCTCAAAAGTCCCCAGGCCGCAAGCAGGTGGTGGCTAACCTCAGTGTAACCAAGACCTTTCCTGAATAGCCTCAGACCCAGCACTGTCACCAAGTTTGAATCTGTATTAACCTGGTGAACACTACTTGCCCTCCTTGCCCAATGGCCCCCTGGAAACTTGCCTCACACAGCTCACAGACGTCCCAAGGCTCTTTCAGTGGCTGAGCTGCACAGGCATCCAGCAAGTGGAGGCGGGTCTTGGAGTGCCCTGCGCCTTTTGCTGACCTACCCCAGACCCAGTACTGGTGGCGGCCGGTCTCAGTCTGTAGCTTGGCTGTCATCAATAATTCAACAAACAAGTGCTGGCAAGGATGTGGAGGTAAAGAAACCCTTGTGCGCTGTTGGTAGGAGTGCAAATTGGTGCAGCCACTGTCAAGAACAGTATGGAGGTTCCTCAAAAAATAAAAATGGAACTGCCTCATGACCCATTAATTCCAGGTATAAATCCAAAGGAACCCAAAACACTAATTCAAAAAGACAGATGCACCCCTATGTTCATTGCAGTGTTATTTACAATAGTTAAGATGTATGGAAGCAACCCAAGTGCCCATCAATAGATGAGTGGATAAAAAAGTGGTACTACATATATGCAATGAAATACTACTCAGCCATAAAAAAATGAAATCTTACAATAGGAGACAGCATGGGTAGACCTAAGTGAAATAAGTCAGAGAGACAAATACCATATAATTTTACTTACATGTGCAATCTAAAGACAAAACAGAAACACACAAACATATGTGTGCATATATGTAGGGATGTGTGTGTATAGAGAGAGAACAAACTGATGGTTGCCAGAGGGGAGGGAGCCTGGGGGACTGGGTGGAAAAGAGATGAAGGGATTAAGAAGTACAAACTGGTAGTTACAAAATAGTCATGAGGATGTAAAGTTCTGCATAGGAAATATAGTCAATAATGTAGTAATAGCTACAGTGCTGGGTGGATACTTAAAATAATGTGGGGATCCCTTTGTAAATTATTTGATTGTCTAACTGCTGTGCTGCACACTTGAAACTAATACAGACTTTTAAAAAGAAAGAAAGAAACAGGACATTGAATGAACAACCTTATGTGAAGACCTACTATGTACGTATAGTTAGGCAAACTTTTCAAAAGAGCAGAAGAGGCAAAAAAAAGAACTTTCCAGTTCTTACAAGCTGCTGTTATTTACAAAAATACAATAAAATCACCCTTTACCCTTTTTTTTTTTTTTTTACAAATCCTGTCTGCGTTATGTTTTTGTCCTCTTTCTCTTTACCTTTGAAAAATACTGATCCTTCTCCCAGTTCTTCTCAAAGATGCAGTGTTCAGAAATAGTGTTCCCATTAAACATGGAGGGCAACTTTCTCTTTTTTGACTGTTTCACTGTTAAAATCTTCACACTCTTTACTGTTGAGCTCCATGACCCGCCCTGTTCCTCTCCATTGTTTCGCTTCAGACAGCTTGCCGTGCTCACCTTCCTCAGGAATTCTGCTCTGAGCTCCATCTCTGCGGCAGTCGTCTTGGGATGTGTTCTCTCTGAGGAACAAGCGATATTATTCTTTGTGACTAAATTCTAGTATTTTTTCTACTCTGTGCTCAGTTTTCAGAAGTTAACAGCTTCTGGAAAATAGGTTAACTGCCTTTACCTTTCTGGGATTTAAGTAGGCACATATTAAAAATTATATCTTTGTGAAGATTGAGAGAGAAATATGGTGGCAGAGACCGAGAGGAGCTACGCTGGGCTTTCCTGTTTAGAGGCTTCTAGCAGAAGCTTGGTGAAGTGAGGAGACCGTGTAGAGTGGTGGAAGGGCAGCAGGCGGTAGAAAAGATAGGTTTAAATTCCTGCTTTCTCATTTTCTCGCTGTGTGAACTTGGATAAGTATATTTCCTAAGTTCTCTGATCCTTGGTCAGTTTGTTCTGTAGGAAAGGGAGAATATGACCTACCTCCCCAGCGTGGCAGACAGCACGGATCAGGTGCCTTTGTAGAGAATATGCACAAGCATCCCCACTGTGTGGCCATAGCCCCAAGGTCACACAGCCAAGTGAGGTGAGCCAAGCAGGGCCCCTTCAGCCGGTGCGGGCCTCCTAGCTGGGCATCCTGGTGTAGCACAGAGCCTGGAGCCTGCCCGCCCGCGGAGCAGAGGCCTGTCAGCGTCTGTCGTTAGGGGCAAGCCTGGGGAAGGGCTGGGGAGGGGCCCAGTCCTGGGTCTGCCTGGTTGCTTGTCAGGGATTTAGCACCTTAAGAAGGAGCCTGCCTTTTACTTTCTCGCTGATCTTGCTTTCACACCAGTTCTCCTGTATTTTCTTCACACCACTAACAATGTCATATTAGCTCAAAGGTGTCACTGTTGGAGAAGGGGCCATGGGAAGCACTCCCTCTTTCCTGCCAGTCTCATCCCCCCCTTCACAGATTGTAGAAGCATTTAATGAGACCATGAAGAGGAAAACATCCAGAACATGACAGAAGCACTGAAGTTCTTTCTTATTTCACTTTTATTTTCCCATAAGATAACCTGGCGTTTGTCTACGCCTTCTCTGACTACTTTCTGTGGTAGTGTGCTTGACCCCAAGATAACTGAGATCTGATATAAAAACAAAATGCTTTTATTTATATTTATCTTAAATGGAAATAAATTAAGCTTTTCTAATATTTGACATACAAATTGACAATATTTTCTGGATATAATTATGAATACACATATATATACTGAATGGGCATGATCAACCTTTTTCTCTGACATAGGTAAGTAATAAAACTCTTCCAAGACCAGTGCTCAATTCTCACTCCTCTGTAGCCACTGAATCCTCTGAATGCAATCACATTTTTAAAAATTTTTTAAGATTTTTATTACATATTTTTAGAGAGTGGGGAAGAAGAGAGAGAGAAGAGAGAAACATCAAGGTGTGAGAGAAACATTGATCAGTTGTCTATCACACACTCAACCGGGAACCTGGCCCAAAACCCAGCATGTGCCCTGACCAGGAATCAAACCGGCAACCTTTTGGTTTTCGGGATGATGTCCAACCCCTGGGCCACATCAGTGAGGGCTGCAATCACATTTTTTTACTCTTCTCTGCCTTCTTTTAATATATGTAAGTATTAGTCCCCTGCTTTATATTCCAGGACAGAACTTTTATAAATCTTGTCATGACACTTGCCCATTTTCCCCTGATCTCCTTTTTTTTCTTTTTTTCATTGTTATCTGCATTGGGATATGGGAAGAAGTAAGCTTTCCCCCTAAAACAGGAATACTTCCTATAAGGTAATTTGTAATTTATGATAAAGTCAGATTGGGAACTTCATGGTTTAATCCTAGAAATTCAGTAAAATAAAATAAGAGTGTGGACTTTGGGTCCAAGCAGCCTGGGCTAGATGACATTTTTAGCAAGTGACTTAGCCTTCCTGTGTTTCGTTCTCATCTGTGAAGTGGGAATAAGAGGGCCTGCCTCATCAGGTTAAGGTGACAATTAAAAGAATTAATACCCGTGACATTTTTAGAATAAGGCCAGTTGTATGTTAAACACAACAGAGGTTTGCTGCTGTCGTCACCGTCATCACCATTCCTGCCTTCATCTCTAGGAGAGGCGCGGTCCACACCCAGACCTACTGCAACTCTGACCTGGAAGTACCAGTGTCGGTTCTAGATTCACTCACTCTCTCAGCAAATGTCTACTGGTGGTCTCCAGTGTACCAGGCACCCCACCAAGTGTTGGATGCTCCACTCCATTGCCAACCTTGTACTCTGTCTGGTGAGCTGCATCTCCCGTGTCACCAGCTTGTGGCTATAGTGGTCCACTTGGCAAAGGATTCAGTTTCTACTTCTCTAGGCAAAATAAAGGGCTTTGATGTTATAAAATCACTAAACATTTTTGCCTTTGCAGAATTACTAGACACTGTGGATTTCGAAGCCATTTGATATTTTAAGATGCAAATAGACTTTCCCTGCAATATTAATTCCACATGGTATTATTGCTTTCAATTCCTTGATTATTCTTCCTCTGAACTGTTAGCTTATTACGCATAAAGTTCCACTTACATGTATTTCTTCCCGGGGGTGATTCCTACAGATTGATCCAAGGTGTATTCTGCATCATACTGCCTAATCTTCACAAAGGATACATTCTCTCTTACCCAAATTTCAGTCTTATTAGGTTGCTGGACAGTCTTACAGCTGGCTTAATATTCTTCTCATCCAATTGAAGTATTAGTAGAGCAATAGAAATTCTCAAAGTAATATTCTGTGTGAATAGCCAGCAAGTTTAAACATAATTATTTTACTATTGAACACTTTCTCTGAAAAAGTTCTTTCATCTCTCTATGAAAAAAATGGTTTTTATAAAAGCTTAGGAAATTCCCATTATATTAAAGCCATTCACATTCATTTATGCATATAGTTCAGGATATGGGCAGAAATAAAAGGGGAAATGATAAAGGCAGGAATTTATTCCACATTTCCCCTTTTCAATCCTTTTATTTCCCATTCACAGGCTAATATAATCTTGGAAGCCATCTAATTCAAGACTGATAATGGGATGTACTTCCCATGCCCGATGACAGGGTAAAAAGGCAAATTTTTTTAAAAATGCATGACTTTCTTTAAGATTTATTTTGTTGCGAATTGTTTTGTCTTAACAAAAATGCTGTGTTTTATGTCATAACTTAAACATGATTAACCAAGTCATATATTTTATTTTTCCAACATGTGGGTTGAGGATAAAACCTTGTGCTGGAATTGAACATTGTATTCTCCAGACAAAGGAAATGGACATTTATTGGATGTTACTGCTGCTTTCTTTGCACTAATGACATTATGAAAGCTCTTTGAATAACATAATTTAGAAAAATTATTTCTGTGTTTCAGGTCATGCAAGACAAGATCATTTGCCTTCCAAAAAGAGTTCAGCCATCTCAGAACCACTCTTCCGTTTCAAATGTCTCTCAAGCAGTTGCCGGAACGACCCCATTGCCTCCGCCTAAACCATCTTCGACTAACCCCATCACTGTGGAAATGAAAGGACTGAAGACAGATCTGGACCTCCAACAGTACAGCTTTATAAACCAGATGTGCTACGAGCGAGCCCTCCACTGGTATGCCAAATATTTCCCTTACCTTGTCCTCATCCATACCCTGGTCTTCATGCTCTGCAGCAACTTTTGGTTCAAATTTCCTGGCTCCAGCTCCAAAATAGAACATTTTATTTCCATCCTGGGGAAGTGTTTTGACTCCCCCTGGACCACACGGGCTTTATCGGAAGTGTCCGGGGAAGACTCAGAAGAGAAGGACAACAGGAAGAACAACATGAGCAGGTCCAACACCACCCAGTCTGGTCCAGAAGGCAACCTGGTCAACTCTCAGTCTTTAAAGTCAATTCCTGAGAAGTTTGTAGTGGACAAAAGTACTGCAGGGGCTCTGGATAAGAAGGAAGGGGAACAAGCAAAAGCCTTATTTGAGAAGGTGAAGAAGTTCAGGCTGCATGTAGAAGAAGGTGATATACTATATGCTATGTATGTTCGCCAGACCGTGCTTAAAGTTATAAAATTCCTAATCATCATTGCGTATAATAGCGCCCTGGTTTCCAAGGTCCAATTCACAGTGGACTGTAATGTTGACATTCAGGACATGACTGGATATAAGAACTTTTCTTGCAATCACACCATGGCACACTTGTTCTCAAAACTTTCCTTTTGCTACCTGTGCTTTGTAAGTATCTACGGACTGACATGCCTTTATACCTTATACTGGCTGTTCTACCGTTCTCTAAGGGAATACTCTTTTGAGTATGTCCGGCAGGAGACTGGTATCGATGATATTCCAGACGTGAAAAATGACTTTGCTTTTATGCTTCATATGATAGATCAGTATGACCCTCTCTATTCCAAGAGATTTGCAGTGTTCCTCTCTGAAGTGAGCGAAAACAAATTAAAGCAGCTAAACTTAAACAACGAGTGGACTCCCGATAAACTGAGGCAGAAGCTACAGACAAATGCCCATAACCGGCTGGAATTGCCTCTCATCATGCTCTCTGGCCTTCCAGACACTGTTTTTGAAATTACAGAGTTGCAGTCTCTAAAGCTTGAGATCATTAAGAACGTAATGATACCAGCCACCATTGCGCAACTAGACAATCTCCAAGAGCTCTCGCTTCACCAGTGCTCCGTCAAAATCCACAGCGCGGCACTCTCTTTCCTGAAGGAAAACCTCAAGGTCTTGAGTGTGAAGTTTGACGATATGAGAGAGCTGCCCCCCTGGATGTATGGACTCCGGAATCTGGAAGAGCTCTACCTGGTTGGCTCTCTAAGTCACGATATTTCCAAAAATGTCACCCTTGAGTCTCTGCGGGATCTTAAAAGCCTTAAAATTCTCTCTATCAAAAGCAACGTGTCCAAAATCCCTCAGGCAGTGGTAGATGTTTCCAGCCATCTTCAGAAGATGTGCATCCACAACGACGGCACCAAGCTGGTGATGCTCAACAATTTAAAGAAGATGACCAACCTGACCGAGCTGGAGCTGGTCCACTGTGACCTGGAGCGCATTCCTCACGCTGTGTTCAGCCTGCTCAGCCTCCAGGAATTGGACCTCAAGGAAAATAACCTGAAATCTATAGAAGAAATCGTTAGCTTCCAGCACTTGAGAAAGCTGACAGTGTTAAAACTGTGGCACAACAGCATCACCTATATCCCAGAGCATATAAAGAAACTCACCAGCCTGGAGCGTCTGTCCTTTAGTCACAACAAAATAGAGGTGCTGCCTTCCCACCTCTTCCTATGCAACAAAATCCGATACTTAGACTTATCCTACAATGACATTCGCTTTATCCCACCTGAAATCGGAGTTCTACAAAGTTTACAGTATTTTTCCATCACTTGTAACAAAGTGGAGATACTTCCAGACGAACTCTACTTCTGCAAGAAACTTAAAACTCTAAAGATTGGGAAAAACAGCCTATCAGTACTTTCACCAAAAATCGGAAATTTACAGTTTCTTTCCTACTTAGATGTTAAAGGCAATCACTTTGAAATCCTCCCTCCCGAACTCGGTGACTGTCGAGCTCTGAAGAGGGCTGGTTTAGTTGTGGAAGATGCTCTATTTGAAACTCTGCCTTCTGATGTCCGAGAGCAAATGAAAACAGAATAACTTATTTTTGTTTGAAGTTTGACTGAAACATGCTTCTACCAAATACAGTATAAATAATTAGGTAGTCTTAATGCCTTTCCTATTTTATGTTTTTTTTTCTTTTCACACGAAACAAAATGTACACAAAAGATTAAGTAAGGAGTATGTATTTTTTAATAAAAATTTAATTGTATTTTTTCAGTATTAATATTTTAAAGTTTTATTTGTCCTGGTACCTAATGTACCTGTTACTGTTTTCTACTGGCAGAAACAGATGGTTCCATCTGTTTTTTGTTTTGTTTTCTTGTTGTTGTTTTCAGTTCATTCTGGTGAAGGGGAGAGAATTTTAAGTTGCATTCTTTTTAGTATTTTTTTTAAATAGATGAAGATTACTTGCCAAGGTCATTCTTAGCTTGTTTACACCTGTACAGTTCCTTGCTTTTGTTGTCATTGTTTGTATACCAAGGAATCTGTGCTAGTTATTTTAATACCAGCTGCCTTCTCCATTAGCCAAGCCTTTCATTGTATATAGTTCATTCTTTTTGGCTTAAATTCACATAAGTGCATTGTCACAGATTATTATTTTAAAATTTCCCCCCCCATCTCTAAGGGAACTCTAAATTATGTTATTTCATATACCTGATAGGTAAACTTATCCTTAAACAAGAACTTTTTAAGTGAGTGAAGACAATAATCTTCCATAGTTGGCATGCTTGAATTGGTCATTTATAATTTAATTGATTTCCATTTTTACCAACATTTAAAAATATTTAAAAACTAAATACAGAGGCTCCCTGCTTTAATCTCAATGTAGCTATGTAGTACTGGTGAACAACCTTAGAGAACCTAGATTTATTTTAATTAAGATAGGTAATTAAATTTAAATATCATAGAATTAGAAGCCTGGTTTTTGAGTAATTTAATCATCTTTGATATCTTAATATGTAGATAAATCAGATGAAAAAAATTCACTACTAAAGCGCTCTGTTAAAGAGATGGTGCACGCCAGTCCAGCCCACTGATTTCCTCTAGGCAGTGCGGCTGTGCAATCTATTCAAATTCTGCCTGTTGCACAGAAAAATCCGTGTGTGTGTGTGTGTGTGTGTGTGTGTGTGTGTGTGATCAATTTCCCTCAAGCCTGACCTTGCTGTGAATGCTAGTGATGCAAGCACAGGAATGCTTTCTGCTCTCTGTGGCTTAAAAGAAGTATCTCGAGTGGAATGGTTCTGTTACTTTTTTTTTGAAATGTGAATAAATTGCTAAGTGGATATCACTTAGCAATAATTTTTTCCAATGATCAGTAGAGCTTTTATGTATCTTTGTTCTTAAAAATCCAACACAGTATGGGTCTTGGGCAAAATTTTTCCATGACTGTTAAGCTATGTGGAGCAGGAAAATGAGAACACTATTCATGCCCTCAAGCCAGGACCTGTACTACTGATCATGGAATTTTGCTTTATTTACCAAATCACATTGACCATTTTCCAAGCCCTAGTCTTCTCTAAGAAAGTTTTGTGACAACAATGAGAGAAAGTAGGAAGGTGATTTCAAAATGCCATCTTTAAAATTTGCTCCTTGATCCTGGTGACTGCTCAGTGCTAATTTGAGTCATGTGAAACACAGCTACAGGAACTACTCAGCAGACACATGTTACCTCAATTGTGTGTTTAATGTTACAGTACATCATGGGGGGAAGAATTTGGGAAAGAGATGCTTTTCACTTATTTAATATTCTAATCACGTAGACCAAAGTGCTTCACTATTTCTGCTGTATGTTAAAGTGTAAAAATGGTCATTTTATATAACTGATTTATTTCGGCCTGTAATTGAAACAGTACGTTTAAAAGAATAACATGGTTATATTTCTTATAGGATAAAACATTCAATTCCAGAATATTGTTAGGATCCTGATTATGAACGTTGTGCTGTATTTAGAAACATAGCCCTATCTGTTTGAAACAAAGAAACAAACAAAACACATGGAAGATTGTCCATAGCTGAGCAGGACAAAAATACCCAGTTGAAGTAGACTTTGATAACTACTGTTAAAACACTGGGTACACTATTTTTCTGTATAAAATGTATGGTTATTTTCTATATCACTCTTCAAAAGGGATCTCTTCGGGTTAAACATCATATTTATGCTAAAGTCTTTATCTGGTGTTAACTCACAATCTCATGGTTCATAACTGAAGTCACTAATAATTATTTTATCATAACAATTTGCTCAAAATTCCAAAAGAATTTGATTTGCTTTCTTAATGATTTTGAAGGCTGACCCTTAATCTAAGTTTTAAACATCCATTAAATCAGTATAGTTCTGATTTATAGTATGTTTTAACTGAAAAGGAAAATTCATACATGTTTCTATTAGATTTTATAAAATTTTGAAATTCTCAAACTTTACCTTGAGTCGAAATTTTCTGACTTTGGCCCTTTTTAATATTATAGATTTTTGTTCACATTCTTAAGTAAAAAGCATTCAATTACTATTTAGCCTTTAATGGGAAACTCAGGTAACTAAACTGCTGACTTTTCTGAAGTTCTTTAACAGATAAACTTCATAAAAAAGGGGTGTTTACCTAATCTCTTTTCATATTTTACAAGTGCAATTGCTAAAAAAGAACAGCTAGCTCTATTTCTCCAACCCTTATAGGATTCATGGGAAACTGCTCATGTAGCTTTAAAGCACCATGTGCACTCAACTCCTGTGTCTGCCTGAAGCCCACAGCGGGTACACTTTTTGGTCTGTTTTAATGGTTAAGTGTAAAACAGTCTGGCTGATGGTCTGGTTGAAACAGAGCATATAAGTATATCCCAACACAACTCACAAAAGACCACACCTCTGAAAACTAGTTATGTGTTGAATTTTTATTTTGTTTTGTTTTTAACAACACTTTTAATATAAAGTTTCTTGATACAGTGAAATCTCTTATTTACAATTGTAAAAAAATTTTTATTGTCCACCCACCATTTTTCCTGCCACACATTCCCCGCGTAACTATTGTGATGGGCTCTAACAATTTATGTGGCATCCTGCTTTTTCAGAAAGGCATGGGAAATATGCCTGCTATGGGTGTTCTGTTCATTTAGAGGTGGCTCCTTACCTGTCTCTCAAGCCATCTTTGTAGAGAGGAGCTTAAACAACATGGAATCTTCTTTGGGTTACTCCGGATAAGGGAAGCTCAAGTTTTGCAATCTTGCAATGTGATGTCTGATACTAAGAAAGAAGAAAAAGATCTCTACATCTCTTGTTGCCATGTCCCCCAAGGGAAGTTTGCTGTTACTCATTTTCCTAATTCTACTGTAAGAAAAGTTCATTTTTAAGTAGTTTATTTTACTCTCTAATATCATACTAAATACCTGATCAACAGTAATGACATGCTTACTTAAACAGTGAATATTCATGATACATCTTTATGAAAACAGCCAGCAGTACTTAGTAGTGAATAGATAAATTTCAATATGATTTCAATTTGTGTTTAGAGACTAAATTAAGATTCAATTCACATGCTCTTATTAATACGGAATATGTATGTTATTCAAACAGTTCACATTTGGGTCGGATCTCAATAACTCAGGGTAGGGTTCCATACTAACCTCAAGTTAGCAAAACAACAGTTATTCGTGAGGGGGATGCCTCAAAGGTCTGCAAGATTTTCTCATCTTTCCTCGCCTGTTTAGACACATTGTTAAAAATTTGGATAGTCTTGGTCAGATCTGCCATTGATTTTTCAGATTTAGGCCTCGGTGACATGCTTCTAATACAATTTTATACTAGCCTCCCAAACTAGGGATCCACTCTTACTTCATTTTCCCAAGCTATTTTCTGTTACAGGTAACATCATTAGAAGTTCATTTGGGAAGAGGAGAGAGGGTGTCCTCTCCCCCAAAGGAATTTGTTTTTAAATCAGAAGACCTTGAAAAGGGATATATAACTTTGAACTTAATTTCTTGGCCATATTAAATAACAGTTCCTATGCATGGTTTTTAATGTGGTATAAATATGCTTTCTGCTAAATACCATTCCCCCGCCCACCTGATTCTGCCTCTTTAATGAAATATTTTTAATGAAATCCAATGCCTTATGTCCTCACTCAGTTTTCCTTCTGCCTCTTGTATTCCGTCACTGTGTGTGTTCAGATTGTGTCAAATGCTGGCAAAACCTCTAAGACTGTCGAGAAAATGCTTGAAAGTTGATTTTTCATCATGCAAATTCATGATAAAATGTCTTAATGTTATCTGGCTACATAGTACATAGGAACAGAAAATAAATAAAGTCACTTTTGTAATTTAAAATTGAGATCTGTCCCTTTCTTATTCATTTGGAGAAATCATGTTTATCTTTCTTGTTTCTGTTTATTTTGCATATTCTGTCACTAAGGCCCCCTGTACTCGGCGGGAAATGGGCTGCACGCATTCTTTTACTTTGTGTTTAGCCCTTTTCTGCAGTTGTGACTATTTCCTTCCTTAATTCACTGTACTGCATCTACACAAGGTGCCCCTGGAGTTTAATTTGGGTAATTAGTGCCTTAATAGGTAATCTGGAGTGCAATTTCTGTACATTTGCCAGATCAGATTGTGCAAGTGCTGTCCAGCCAGCCCAGCTTTCAGTAAATACTTGGTGGTAAAGACTGTGGTTAGTTAAAGAAATCAGAACATTTCTGCACAGCTATGAGGACGCCCCTGGTAAACCACATACACTCCAGGCTTAAGGGAGCCTTGTATAAGATAATTTGTACCACTTATGCATAAAAATTTATGAATGGTAACTTTTGAAGCTAAATTGTGGCGTTACACATTTTTCAATAGTCATATATGGCTCCACTATTTTACTGATAATCAGCGGATAGTCCTTTGAAGGACTACTGAGATGAAGGGTTGAGTGCGGTGAAAGAGGCCGTGCGAATGGTGTATCGGACGCCTAGAAGGCATTGTGTGAAAGCTCCAGGGCAATTGTGGGGACAAGAACTGAGAAATGCAGTGGGTAGGGACATCTGGCCATTTCAGTGCAATTTGCATCTAAGATTGTCAATGTTAAGAAACATTCAAACCTTTGGAGAATTTTTGTGAATTTATTTGCGCCAAACTGACAATGGCCAGAAAGCAAAACCTCAATGAGTTGAAAAAATGTTCCGGAGAAGCACAATTTAGCACCTTATTGTATACATTACAACCCCAGGAGAAGGCATAATGGGGTTATGTGAAGTCCATTGGTGATTAGGGAGGCGGGAGAAAGCAAAGCGGCGGGAGAGGGGGGACGGGGGACCTCTGGGATTGGATAAAAAGTAAATGATAGGCATTTTTACACAGGCGGCTATAAGATCGTTCACAGTTGACAATTAACATGATAACAGTGAGGGGTTTTGTGATTCCCCCACCCCCACCTCGTGCAGTGTCTGTTCTTTGAAGGGTCTGGAAAACGGAAATTTGACTTTCTAAAGTTACATTATCAAAGGGGCAAAAGACGACAAGCTCAGTTAAGGTAAAGACTGACCTTTGCTAGGGAAAAATAACTGGCCTAGGACATGACTGCCTTCTGTGACCTGCTTTTAGTTAGAAAGTTTTTCACTTCAGACCACGACGTGGCTACTTTAGGTCTCTGGGTTTGTAAGGCCACCGCGCAGCCCTCCCCTGAGCTTGCCAGGTCTAGCATGTGGCCCCTTTTCCTCCACAAGGTTCGATGCACTGCCACCTTCCGTTACATCTTTCAGGCCCATCATTTATGCAGACTGTTGATAGAAACATTGAAATTAAATAAATTGACTCATTTATTAACGTTGGCTAGCAAGATATGGTGAGCATTTTGGTTTGGGTGGAAAAGTACATGAAGAGGCAAGTCACTAAAGCCAATTTTAGACTCAGAGGCCATAGCACAGGGCCTGCATATTTCTGAAGGTATGTTTGAATGTCATCCTAAATATCCAAGTAGGAAAAAAGTGAAAAGCTGTCTATAAGCTGCATTGTTTTTTGTGTAAATTTTTAAATACAGGTTATACTTTAGATTTCAGACCTAAACATATTTGAACAAGCAAGGGGCTGCCATGATCAGGAGGTTAGTGACAGTGTTACAGAACCAGCCAATGGTGTTCGAGAACGGCTGTGGGG